AAATACTCTACGTATTCTCCAATCATAAGCGGAAATCAGATGTCCAAATGCTGTTATACAGGATTTTTCCAGTTATCTACCAAATCATCTACACACTCGGGAAAAACACCGGAAGTTCACGTCGAGGTTCATGGAAAACACAGTGCATCCTCAAGAGTCCACTATCGATTTGATATAGCAAGCGACTAACTAAAAGCTGTGAAAACTCTATTTTAGACTTTTATTATTAGCTCTAGCGGAGATTTACTGTACTGTTTTCAGTTAGGACGTTTCAGTATTACACAGTTACAAAGAAATTTTCGCCGTATATATCACATTTATGGTGGATTCATAATAATGAACAATTGGAAAATGTCACGTAGTGATAAAGTTATTGACCGTCTAAACTCAGTAACTTTGCATTAAAGGATAAAGGATAAAACTCTTGGCGTTGATCAATCCCTGAAGGATGCGCCATGCATTCGACTTCATTAAGCATCGTTTGGAGGTGATTGAATGCATGTCTGGCCTATACAATGACTCGCGGTAGCCTACCGATGTATCGAGCCAGTGCAACCATCCTCTCGGACAAGTCTGGTACCAATTTGCCGACTCCGGAGAGATGGAAGGCTTGGTGGGCCATGGGCACAGGGACCGATTCCACATGTGTGTTGCAGGGCGCCTCCGACTACTGCGTCACACGCATCCTAACTTTGCACTGGTGTAGAAAATCCTGAACTGCTCAGTTTTTCCATAATACAATAGAAAACTCGATGTTTGGCTTGAAAATACCGTCGAATTTCGCTCGGTTTTTTCGATCATTTTCAGAATTTCCCATAATAATGCTCACTTGCCTAGAAACGAAGAAGTATGTATTTCCAGTGCGACTTAGTTTCAAATACTCTTAGATTAAACGCTTCATGTATTCTAATGCATTTCCTTTAACTCTTACACTAACCAGAAAGAATCAAAAACTCTGAAATGTCCGGCGGGAGTTCCGGAGGCTGGAGATGAATAAACGCCATCAACGGCTTGTAGCTTGTAGTCACAGTGGCAGTCGTTTGTTCGGCGGTTTTTCTACTGTTCTTTTTCCTTGTTTCAGTGTCGCTTCGTACAAAACTTTCAACCCGTTGCCGAAATGTTTATTCATTTTTCATTGCTTTATCGATTTCATAGCTGAACACAAAGAGCGTATAAAATACGAGGCAGCTTATAACTTTTCTAATTCTGTCGCATTCACTAGCGTTCTTCACATTTCCACAATTATCATATCTTTTATCCTTCCACTAGGCTCTATTTTTATCATTTCTTATCTCATCATATCCCAGATATCATCTATTGTCAGCTTCAGGCGTCGATATTCGTTCTCACGACCACATTAAAATATAATGGTGTGAGCAATCGTTAATTTTGTGCATCGTATGAATTATCTGGAGGACATCGATGATGGGGAGTAAAGGACATTTTGGAAACATTACCTGCTTATATTTTTAAAAGCTCAGGATCCTACAAAAACTAGCAATCTCAAAGGGAAATCTCAACTGCTTAGAGAGGATAAAAGGATAAAGCTTTCGGCGTTGACCAATCCGTAGGGGATGAGTCATGCATTCGACTACATTGAGCATCGCTAGAGGAGATTAAGTTCACATCTGTGCTACATAATGGCTTATTGTGGCCTACCAATGTATGAAGTCAGCGCTGCTATCCTCTTAGACAAGTCTGGGGCTAACGTGCCGACTCCGGAGGGACGGAAGCATTAGTGCGCCAGCGATCGAACCAACAGTCAACTGCATGGAGAGAAAGAGGATGGTATCGACGAATACATCTGTTAAGTTGAAATTTGGACATAACTCAAAAGTGATTTAAACGAACGAACTCGATCAAACACAATTCCGTTTATCCTCTGATAGCAGAATGTCGTCTTCATTTACGGATCTCGTGGCGCCCATTATGAAGATACGGCGTCCAAGCAGTAGGCGCTTCGATCGGCCCATTAACTGTCGAGTTGTGACACCACACGACACTGATCCTAGCAACTTCTGCTGCATTGAAAGTCCTGAAAAACAGTTGTTCTCCATCATCACGAACGGTGTTTATGACATCATCTCTCGAAACAGTTGGCAATGCTATTTTGTCCCAATTAAACGACTTCACTATCTTGACTGAAAAATTGGGTATGTTCGCCAAAATAATGAGTGTAGAATTTGAACGAGAACGAGGTACGATCCAAAGGAACCATATCCTACCGACTTACGAGTCGAAATGTACTCTTTGTTGACTAGTAGCAGAACTTCGTCCATACTGATGATTGTTTTGCCTGCGACGGTGTTCGAGCCGCTCGCCCGCTTCCCATCAGTCTCAGTCGGTTGCCGTGTGAGAAATTGGGTGTGGTCGCAAAAATATAATACATAGATAATCGCAATTAGTATCATGTAGCCGATTTGTCTACAACTTGTTCTTGAGACGACTGCTTCTTTTTCTCTTCGATAGAATTGAAACTTCAACCTCGGCCATCCCACTACAGTCGGTCTCGTTCTTTTTTTCGTTTTTTGTTTCCAAATCTTTTTTCCACTATTTGCTTGGTTCAATACTTGCTCTATACAGAACTAAAATATTATTAAGCTACAGGAAAAAAAACACGAAACAGAAGCAAGTACTGTTTTCAAAGACACAAAACTTATGGCATTTAAATAAAAATAACCTTTTTATAGAAGAACAAAGTAACCCAAAACCTGTTGCTTCAAGAAAAGCTGGTCTGTTCCTACACTTCGAGATACTGAATCGTCTTTTTCACTTGCAAAGATCCATAGGAACAAATTCGTTTAAATGAAAGTTGTCTTAAAAAACGTGAAGGCTGAATTACTCAGAGTTCTCCTTCAAGCTTAGATTTGGCTAACATCCAAAATTACATAAATAAGTAAATAAATAAATGAATAAATAAATAAATAAATATGCAAAATACTACGTCCTACCAAGTACGAAGAAAAATCAAGCTTAACACCACTCTTAGAATAAGGACTAATTTTTTACGCACTCTTATTAGCTGTGGTACCTTAATGGGAGTTTCTGATTTCCTTTGATTTGATCTTAACTTAACTGTTTAAAGATTTCGGGAACACCATGATTCGGATCAATGAGAATCTGTTTATTGACAATAAACCAGAACATCGGAGTATTGATCTTTTACTTCAAGTATATTGTTACGCCTTTTTTATATCCTCATCGCTCTCTTTGCGCTTCATTTCTATCTACAGATGTTTTTTTACTGCGCAGTTTTCCGTTTACACTCAAACTTCTTAAGGTTTACTATCCAGTTCTTCTTCAAGAAGAACCAATTTTTTTCCTCAAAATTTGTTTTTGACATTCTCTGAGAAAAATATTGCTGTTGTATTGACACAAATCCCACGCTTTGTGATCCTAGAGCTTTTCTCCCCATTATTTATTTCATCTTCAATTTTCGTCTTATCTTTTATGAATCCCCGTGAAACCTAACTCCAATCCAATTTCTCTTAACCAAAGAACGTAATGATAACTGTTTGTATGAAAACGAAGCAAGATCTAACTAGCTATTTTATTTAGCTGCTTTTAAGCAAAGGTTGCATTGAGTTTGCTGAACCAATTACAAATTATGAATGAACTAGTAAGCTAACGAACGGGTACTGTTCACAACCGAACGGGTACTAACGCTCTGCATAACTTAATGCAAGTGAAAGTACCCTACCGTGAAACACTCGACAAATCGTAATTTTTTTGGTCCTCAACTCACACTGACATCTTCCACTACCAGTTGTGTTGACGAACGTTGACAAGTACTTGTTCAGCACTTCGAAAATATTTGCATAACCTCTAGTTTACTACAGATTTCGCATATGCACTGATTATCTGATGCTAAGAAGAGCTTTCCTCCAGTGCTTTCTCATGCTGGTGTGCTCTGAAATTGCACTGAATCGCAGGTATCAACCGTATAAAGGACGTCGATATGAACTCACATTGTTCGTTCGGTGAGTCAGTACGAAATCAAGAATTTAAGAAAAATGTGATGTACTAAACACTTGGTATTTGCTTGCTACGTGTAGCGCAATGGTTGGAGGTGCGTTGCGATCCGCTCGGTTGTTGGCTCGACCCCACACCGCTTACTAATCTAGCTCTCCACTTCTCCGCGGTCGGGCAATGTATTAGACTTGCTCGGGAGGACAACAACATTGATTTTGATTTCATAGATCGGCAGACCATCGCCATTATTGTATGAGCCAGATGTGCATTCAATCATATCTGAAATGAAATGAACGGATTCGAATACACGAAGCAACTTTGGAGGATGACTGAACAAGAATTGAACGCAATTTCCTTTTATACATCCTCAGAACTGAATGGAATCTGATGCTTGGTTCTTCACGTGCACCTGAAGGACGATCAACTATGCTGTTCCCATAGTTAAACACATCCATTCAATAATCGGAAGAAGAACAATATAGTGTTATCGTTCTATATATCGATTTTTTACGCATATCCACTGATCGTCAGGATTTTCAATAAACCTACTTTCCCTTCATACTTGACGCTAGGTAAAACAAAGACTTTTCATTTCATGCCACAAAAAGCAGTTTATAGTGCGCGCGGGAATAATGGGAGTATTATGACACCATAAAGCCAAAAAAACACTTAGTGTTCATACTAGTCATCGTTTGTTTACTTTACTTTCACTGTTGCATGTGCTGCGTAGTGGTTAGGGTCACCTGAAACAAAAAAGTGGCCTTTGGTTCGCTCTCGCGCTCCGATCCAATGAAGCTTTCTAATGTTCCGCGATCTAAAAATTGGTTGCAGGCTTATCTGAGGAGCATAGCAGCACTGACTTGACACATAGATGAGCCACCGCCGCCAGCAGGTCATTGTTTAGATCAGATAAGCATGCATTCACCTCAAGCGATGCTTAATAAAGTGAAACTCACGGCGGATCCTTCAGGGATTGATCAATATCGAGCGTTCTATGCTTTATTAACTGTTTTAGAAATCACAACGTAACGGACGCAAAGTTCTTCCGATTGGTCGGCGTTGATAACACGGCTGACTTCAATGTTTCTGCAGGAAACACATTTGAGCATACCTTCGAGGTCAGTGCTCGTCACTCATGAAGACACACATGAGGCATCTATCATATACATACAGGTACGGCGGAAGGGCTACTGGACGTTGTTCGTCGAATTTCCGGGCGATCGATACGCCAAGTCTCCAAAAAAGGTGAGATACTGTTGTTGTTAGGTGTTAAGTTTACACCATTAATGAATGAATCTAGGAGAATCTGTTTTTCCTACATCGAAATGGGAGCGATTAGTAACAATTTACATGGGATCTCTATTAACATTTATAAGACTGACATCTATGGGAGTCATACAGTGAGAAAATAATGGCTGCTCTTGATTTTAAATCAACATGTCCTTGCTAATAGTTAATTTTATTAATCGAGACTATTGAAATTTATATAACTTTACAAACACAATGAAACCATTGTCTTTTACCACGATGAAATCCTATCTTTCTGGAGCTCACAATATTGGCTTCCTCCACCTTATTACTTCAAAGCTCATACTTCGAGGGTGGAAGCAAAGGAACAAACGACATTTCGTGCAGTAGGGCAAATTGCGAGCCAAATTTAGTTTTCTGTAGTTTTTATAGTTGCAATTTCCACTGTTTCTTTGAAAATCTTATAAACTCAAATTTTGCTATCACTTTCTGGAACCCCTAGTTGTAAGCAATATTCAAATTGAAAAGCGGATGCTACAACGCTTATTTATCTCAATGTAAGGTAGAGCGAAGTCTCTTCTATAGGCCGGTTAAAGTTCCGAACTCTTGAAATGCTCTGGTGATTGAGAAGTTATCGTCTGTTGTCGAAAAACTCGCTTCGGTCCTCCACCGGTGAACATGTTACGTTAACAAAGCTTAGCTCAAACAATACCGTTCAGTTTTCAAAATGTTCATGACAAATGACCTACATTGTTCGTCATGAGCCCATCAATTCGGACCACAAGGTTTTACTTTTCAAGTAGTGTAATCTATAAGAGCTTAACCCTCATCGAACCGATCACTCATCACTGATCGCAAAAATTGTGTTTGGTTACAAAAAATTGCACCCTAGTTGTGTATAGCATGCGTCCTGTCTCGTTTTAGAGCTGTTATTTAGTTCATGAGTGGTTTTGGGTAGGCAAAAGGAACACGGTATCCTTCCAGAACTTTTATGTCCGCCTGCTTTTCAACTGATTCCCTTTAGCCTATTTTGTCCCCGCTACCATATTTCATCGCTGGCCTAATGGACCACGCACAATTTTTCATTGGTCGCGAACTTTCTGGTTTTTCTTGGCAATAAAAAAAATCCCTCTTCAATAAATAAAGGGCTTGAGAGGATTTAAACACAAAAGGATTGTAGAAGAGACGTTGCTCCATCGTTTTATGGTTATCAATGATGTCCATGGTACTATTACTATGTGTTGCTATGGTCCACTATGCAAATACATTGCTACCTGCATTTGAAAATATTTTCCGTTTATATCGAGTCTACTTCGGTGTTTTTTGTACCCAAAAATTCCGTGAAATAACCTTGGTTCATCATAAAGGATAAAATAAAGGCTAGAGCTCTCGGAACTGTTCAATCAATGCGCCAAGAATTTAACTTCATTAAACATCGTTAGAGGTGATTGCATGCATATAACCCCTTTACAATGACGCGGTGGCCTACCGATGTGTAGAGACAGTGCTGCTCTCCTTCTAGACAAGTTTGATACCATTTTATCGACCCCGGAGAGAGAGAAGGCTTGGTGGCCCATGGGCGCGGGGTCGATTCCATGTGTATAACCGCGTCGGATTCTCGATAAACTCGGATAATTTCTGGCTAATTAACGCATAACTACTTGGACCGGGATAAGATTGTGTCTCTATGTCAGAAATATCGCTTGGTCAGTCAGTTTTTTACGCGAAATATGAGTTTGAATGAAAAACCTACTTGGATACTTGGACAACTCCTCGTCACGAGTTCCACGGACTCAAACACATTCCCCACTCGTTTTTTATTTTCGTAATCGTCGCTCGTGGTGGTGGTTTGTTTAGAGCCAAAGAGGAGGGTGCATGTCTCACTCCGTGTTCCGCAAACCTGCAGCTGCGGGTTTACAGATCACGGAGTGATTATCTTCCGTTATGAACACGTCCTCCCAACGTGTGGGTGAACGACCTAGCGGACTCCTGCACCCTCATGAAGTTCACTCTACAGTTCTCTTCGTCCATCTCTCATTTGTTCTCATTAGAAGACCGACCCATCTATGCTTCCCTATCGACGAATCTTCTCCTAGGTTTAGAAAGCGAGACAGATTTCCTGGGTCAAAGCTTCGAATTCCGGCTAAATATTGTGTGCATGAGTTATACTTTGGAATACATCATTCAGCGTTTTGTAAGTAGTGACGAGTATCGTTGACGTGGTTTAAGTATCATTCCACGCCTCTGAAACATTACAGAACGTTGAAAAGGCCGTTGAATCGAAAAAATGAGCGCGGATTTTCGGGTCCTTCAGTTAGTCGCTAACTTCTTTGAGAGGCGCGGATGCGACCCAAATTGCTCTCCTTCTTCCTTCTAATTCCTCCTTCATATCGTTCTCCATGTTCACTGAACGTGCAAGGCAATCAGAGAACCATCTAGTTCGACCTTCGCTTTCCTATAATGAGTTTTTCATTAACTGCGTTTTGTTCTGATTTAAACGTATTACGGTCTTTTTTTCCGCTTCGTTAAGATCATTGATAATCGTCTCTATTTCAGTGGTACTTCTTGGGAATATGGCAATGTCATCGGCGAAACGAGGATTTGACGGGAATTTTCTATCAATAACTATGCTTTTATGATCCCAACTGAGTAAATTCATTATCGATTGCACCACTAAACAGCTTGGGCGATATGGTGTCGCCTTGTCTAGCCTTTTTCCTATTTGTATGGTAAGAGGTTGATTGAAAAGCTGAAATTCCGTAGTGCAGCCCCAGTTCTTGTGCACGCCGGGTCCACTCTTTGGTCGACGAGAGCTGATAGGATTACATTCCTTTCGAAGATGGTAAACGTTTTTTATAGTCGACAAAAGTTAGGATTTGCGGCAGATGATATTCTCGATAAACTTCAGTGACCCTGGACACAGCTTGTATATGGTCCTTGCCCCAAAATCTCCGTCGAAATCCTGCTTGTGCCTTATGCAATGTCCTTGATATGTGCGAGAGGTTAATCTTTGTGAAGAGCTCGTACAGCACATTCAACAAGCACACCGGACGATATTCACAACGATCTCTTCGAACACACTTTCTGGGCAGGCTGGTCGTGTTCGACGTCCTCCATTGGCATCGGTTTTAATCCTTTTGAAGGTAAGCTGTCGTATAGTTTGCGAGAACTACATGTAAATTGTGTTTTCCAGTTTTAAAGAAGTCGGCGGTGTTATCTGTTATAGAGAGTACTTTCTTCATGCTTTCTATTGCAGCGTAAGCCTCTTAGGGAATAATTCCGGCTGCTTTATTTCCAGCGAGGATTTTAGAGTACAATGGGACGGGGATTGTGGCAAGGAAAAAGTTGCTGTAAAACTTTTGCGTTATCAATTTTATACCGTAGCGGGAAGTTTTAGTGATTCTGTCTTTGTCCATCAGAGCTGACAGAGGAACATTACAATCGCACAAGTCCCGACGGCAGTTTTTCGCACTGTTTCTTTTCATGCTGCTTTTAACAGTTTCTTTTGCCTGTACCGATGTATATCTATTTGAGCTCTTTTGCAGCACTACCACTAGCCGTTTTAAAGGTATTGCAGTAAAATCAAGCTTCAATTCTTTCGTATTTTTGTTGAGCAAACGCGAGGTGTTATTATTCTGTTACTTGATCAATGCCGAGGTTAGTAGAAAGTCGGTCGTTGGAGTTACTTCAATTCTTTCACCTACTCGAGCTCCTCTTTAGTTGTAACGGAGATGGGATCTGTTCTTCTTGCTTGAGGAACTTTGTCTGATTCGGCACAACTTTTAAATCCTTCAACAAGCAGACCTTAGTTTCTCTGGTCTTCTTTAATCTGCCAATGACATTTGGTTAGGATTTCGTTCAGAATGTTCTCGTCATATACAGTTGGTCTGCTTCTTCATGAACGTTGACATGATTTTTTTTTCCAGCGTGCTGCTGCATCGAATCTTTGCGTGAAGGCAGTGATCGAATTCAGTATAAAATAATGGGACCATCGATGCATCAAGCAAGAAACATTTTCCGTTTATAAGAATATAGTTGATTTCCACACGAGCCGCGTCGTCAGAAGACTCCCTTTTCTGAAGGCACACGTAACACCTGAGCCGCTGGAAACAGTAATCGTTGGATCGATCTGGCCTAGAGTCCATGTTTTGCAAATATTTCAGCATAATTATGATTACAAGGGATTTTTTCCTACGGAATCTTGTGATCGTCAATGCCAACTGGAGGGCTTTAATTAACAACAAACTAGGGTAATTGAATTTGTGGTATGAGCGTAGAATATCATAACGTAATTTAACGTATTGTTGCCCACGTCTCCTACACGCTCAACATGAGTAACACATGCCGCCGAAAACCATTGCGACTTTCAAATTTAAACAACACATTTCAGTTTGTAGAAGACGGCGTCAAAGGGCAAAAGGAATAGGATGAGCGGTGTTGATACACCTCTCAATGATGGACTATGCATTCCACTTCATTCGCAACACAAAAGAAGTGACTGATTATTGCCGCCCCTTGCCCCAATAGCTTGCGGAGTCTATCAATATTTCACATCACTGGTATTCATTCCCCACACCGAACCTGGGACCAATTTTGCCGACATCAGAGACGTGATGGACTTTCTTGGCCTGCCGCTCAGAGTTGAGCCAACGACCATGCCTGCAGTACAACGCATTTCACTCCTTTGTGCTTGAAGCACCATATAGTTTAACGCTAACGCGAAGACTCACTCACTCACTTCACACGTGCGTAAATCAAGAAAAACACTTTCTCATCCAAATATAGGTTACAAGACCTTTCCCGGAGTAGAAGCGATGACCTCTTTGTCGAAAATTGCCCCAAACTGCCTTCAGTACGAATGCCAGTACCGCTTCGATGCAATTTTTTAAACGAATTAGAGAATAATCCACTTATATACATGTAAAAAAACAGCACAGTACAAGGCGGTTAAAGCAATGTAAGTCGCTTCTTGTCTGCAATGAGCAACCTATTCGCCATTTGGGGAATCGCCATATGGCACCGTGACTAACCAATTGAAGATCTCCCACATGAAAGAGACATGTGGAGTTCTAACACTGTTTCTAATACAGGACCAGGATAGAACAATGACTAGAGGTGGCTCTGAAATACACATGTCTGTGGTTAGAATTTTCTGCCCAGCCTAACCAAACCTCTATTCGGGGTTCATGAATTGATACAAAACTAGTTTGGAATGATAGAGAATCTGTCTTGAAACATTGCTAGGCACGTGCATCGTGCATTTTTAGGGACTAAGTCAACACGGTATGCTTTAACCGTCATTTTGAATACAGTATCAACTCAGAGCATCACTTCAAACCGATATGGTTCAAATTTCCTGTAACGCTTCGCATGTCCTTACTGTTTGTAGGCGGCCCATCAATAATTATGAACATCTCTTGCACAAAAATTAGTGGAACTTTTCACAAATAAGATCATCAGCAACCTTATTCGTATTGTAGCTTTTAAATCTGAAACTGATCTTGTTATCTGCTAAGAAATTACTATCGGAGAAATGTGGTGCGAATTTGTCCACGTCTAAAGAATGACCGGGTCCTGACCCCATTTTTTTCCTTTACATAGCAATTCTTGATTTTAATTGTAGCGCAAACAGACTTTTTCTTTACATATTTAATGCTAATTTATTAACAAACTTCTCAACTGCACTACTCTTTTAAAGAAATTGTGGACTCCATGCTTTTCAAAATAGATATTCCACTCATTCTCCAGTCATTACTCATTCTGTCTTTACTTTTTATTTGCTGCCTACTACAATTTTCACGATAGGGTACTATGCGAAATACAATCACAATGATGCTGAGATATTTGCAAAACTCCGGACCGCAGATGTCTTCCATGGGGAACGAACACGTTATTACACTTTCCGAGGGCTAACATGTTCACCACCACACCATGCGGGTTGCTCGTTTGACCTCCCTCATTTACTCTCTCTCTCTCTTTCTCTCTTTCTCTTTCCGTAATCTACTCATTCTATCTTTCATTCTTTGCTTTAAACAAAGAATAGGTCAGAGCGGCAAAGGGAGCTGGTTTAGAACCAACAGATATCCTACTCGTATATAATGCTGAGATATTTGCAATACTCCCCGGTAAGGACAATAGCGCGTGTTCGTTCCCCACCGCATACACCTGTGGTCTGGAGTTTTGCAAATATCTCAACATTATATACGAGTTATATTTCGCAGCATACCCTGCCATTAAAAAGAAAAAGGCAGTACATAAAAGGGTTAAGTTATCTTACTGTTAGAAGCCGAAAATATGTGACAACACCAATACCTTTTCACTTTATTTTGCTAAATTTAAGCAATGAGAAGATGTCCAGTTACAAAAGGAAAATTGAGATCTTAGTTTTGTAGAGCAATTTCTGCAAATGCTAGAAGTCTAAATATATTAAGAAGAAGAAGTAGACAATACTAATACCTCGCTAGGTCTTCTGATTGCCTAAAAACATGTCCATCTTTCAGATAATATCCCGTGATTCCTATCGAAAATGGGTTATGGAGGTGTACTACTATCCAGGAGCAGTCGGCTTCAGTGAATGGCATAAGATGGGACGGAAGAATAAGCGAGGATAGAACACTATAAATCCAGTGCTTAACTGCTTAGTAACGCTAGCCGTCCAACTAACCCATCTTTATAGAGCATTTCGTCAATTTTATGACAATCGTAGCTTCGAGCTTTACCCCGCACAATACTGCCAGCCCTGTGTTCTCTTCAAACTTATTTTTGTTTTTAATACAAAATGACTTCTTATCACTGAGTCATCACAATGATCTGTAACTTGTTGTTGATCGAATAACTGAGAAAATAAAGAAAAACTTCCTAGATGACAATGTATAGACCTCATATAAAACTAGAAAAGGAGACTTAAGTGTGGAGAAAACTAAGTAGAGAAAAGTATTTTTTGGCCAAGTCTCTCTATTCCAACTCACGTTAGTAGAACGCCTGAGCACATCGTGAACCAGGTACTGGAACTTAACAAACAGGTTTGGTGGTTGTCTATGTCTGTTATGGCGAACAAGACTGTCGATAGTGAAGTACAATTACAAGATGCTTACTCTTAGCACTGGATAAGGGAACCTCAGGTGAACAATAGCGATAGACCTCATAAACGGTTTTCTAGTTTGTCTGTCATTGTTATCTAAAGCTCTACATGGAATCTGATCATTGCTTCCTTCGCGCAGAATTTTTCCTCGTAGAAAACAGAGGAAACCGCAAAACTCCAGAAGCCGAATCACAAACCCATCGTAGAATGGGAATTGGTTACTTCGCTAGCCGCCCAAACCCAGACGCCGTTATCGGCAACATCCATGAGGAATAAGAGCAGCTTATCTTATATGTTTACAATGGCACTAAAAATCCGAGACTTTAAATCTCATCAAGAGATGCCAACCGCCTTAATCACTTCGGTTGTTTCCCATCGTCGAGTAGTACGAAACGCCAACAATCACCAAACATCTAAACCTTCAGATCGCTGCTGTAGAAGCAGTAAAAAGAATTTATCAGAAAGGGAAAAAAAAACAATATCGTTTGGGGATTCAGAAGTTCAGTAGAGTTTACTTAAAGCTTGTTGGAATAATGCCAATATAAAGAACAAAGTGGTTAAATTCTGATGTTAGACAGAAACAACTGCAAAGTCTAGAAGAATATATCCGCTCTCCGAATGCTATCTTCTCGCTAGATAATTGAGCAACACACAAAACCAACAGATTTTTTTGTCTGTCCAGCCCTCTCCGGCGAATTCAGCATCTGCGAAATATTTTGTAAGCAGAAACATAGGACTGAACATAGTTTCGGAAAGGTTCAAGACGATGAATCATATTCACAAGGTAGCAACACTCAGTGAGGTATGGACATCGAGAGAATAAGGATACCGCTATGTCATGCCTTCATTAAATGGAAGGTCTACGATTGAGTTTGACAGAAGCGGTGTTGGAGCTCTTACTGTTCGTAGAGAACTTGAAGAATGCGACTATAGTAATCTTACCGTTCATAATGACATTACTATTACTGTGAAGCCAAGTCTGACCAACTGATACCATTCTCTCTAAATTATTTAAAACTTGAAGTACAAGCGTGAGTCCATTTAAACTCACATGTGGGTTGACGTAATGATCTTTGTGAGCGTAGAGCCGCTCAAAGCGAGTGCATCAGAAAATCATGTGGGAAGTACATGCGTTAGCCACAAGGATTTAGGCGTTGGCCGTTAAATGTTAACGTCAACACAGCTGAAAGAATCACGAAGGACTACTACGATGTGGTAGTAAACGCGTAAGCCCACGGAAACTGTAGTAGCGTATTCGATCCCCACCGCAGATACATACGGTCCGGAGTTACGCAAATGGCATCATCATGGTTAACGTCTCACCCCAGAACGTCATGCGGAAGTTGGAGTGGAATGACATGGAAGTGAAGGGAGCCGGCGGTTATCAGCTAAACCATCCTCGCATTGTCGACTATACTGTTCTTGCAGCAATTCACTGTTTTTCTTCAACGAGCAAACACGAGGTTGATATTATAGGATTTATTAGCACACAACAGCTGAAATTTCGACGGTTTCATACTCTTCAGAACCTAGAAAGGTCAAGTTGAGATGCGATCTACTCAGCCAAACAATTTCATAGCCTCAACAGATAAAACTTAGCGCATAAATTTACATTCGTGTAATAAACAGGCTCTTTCAAAGATCCACCTTTGTAAGTCTTCCAGCTAATTCGTGGCAATCAGCCGCAGAGAGTAATGCAAAGCCGAGGAATGTGCGTGACTCAGGTAACATTAGGTTATTCACAAATAAACGAGCGTTTCAAAATGTTTATTGTTTTGAAGTTTTTTTCACCAATAAAATACCTTTTGCACCTTGATTATATGCCATTAGAAAGCTGATTTTATGCTTTTCTAACCACGTTTTTATGTTTTGTCAAGGGTTAAATTTTCCTCACCAATTTTGAAATTTGCAATTTCAGATGTCAAAAAAGAACTTCCATCAAATTTTCTTTTATGAGTTCAAACTCGGTCGTGGTGTATCAGCTCGAAACATTATTGAAATTTGGGGTGAAGGTCGTGTTGGTGAAGCAGCAGTCTGGTGATTTCGACCTCGAAGATAGGGAAGGCCGCAGGCGTCCCATTGAACTTGATGACGAAGAATTGAAGGCACTGGTGGACGCAACCACGCGAGCAACTGTTCGAGGGCTTGCGGAACACCTTGGCGTAAGCACAGGAACAATTCCCACTCACTTGAATCGCATAGGAAAGACAAAAAACTCGACAAGTGGGTGCCGTGCGAATTAAACGATTATCGAAAAAATAGCTGTTTTGAAATGTCGTTTGCTTTTATTTCGCGCAACAAAAACCACCCTTTTCTTGATCGCATTGTGACTTGCGACGAGAAATGGAATCTGTACGGCAACAAGCGACGTTCAGCTCAATGCTTGGATTGCAATCAGGCTCCATAGCATTCCCAGAAGCCGCAATTCTACCAAAAAAAGGTTATGGTGACCAAAAAACGAAGGACTCGCAAGGTACGGTGGTGAACGCGTTACTCCCCGGAAAGGAAAATAGCGCGTTCGTTCCCCACCGCAGAAATCTGCGGTCCAGAGTTTTGTAAATACCTCAGCATCATGTAAGTTATGGTGACTGTTTGTTGGTCAGCAGCGGGGCTGGTTCGTCACAGATTTTTGAATCTGGGCGAAACGATTACGACGGTGAAATATTGCCAACAAATCGACGAAGTGCACAGTAAAATCCAACAACAACGATCGGCATTAGTCAACAAAAAAGGACTAATACTTCTCCTCGACAACGCCCAACCTCACGTTGCGTAACCAGTGCTACAGGAGTTGAAAAAGTTGGGCTACGAAACCTGGCCCCATCAGCCATATTTCGAGCACCTTGACAACTTCCTGCGCGAGAAATGCTTCAAAAACTCCAGTGACGCAAAAAATGCCTCCGGCGAATTCATCGCTTACAAAACTTCAGAATTCTCTGCTACTGGAATAAATGGACTTATTTCCTGCTGAAAAAATGTGTTGGTTTAAATAGTTTTTATTTTAACTAATAAAGTCTTGTTTGAAGCAAGTTATGGCATTTTAAATACTATAGTTAAAAAAGCTCATTTATTTCCGAACGATCTAATAAAATCGGTCTGAGTTAAGGCACTGGGTAACACTTGGTCACAAGACACTCGTTCTTGAGGTTAATTTCTGAATCTTTGGAGCTAATCCTAAACGATCAAGTGTTTTACGAACTAATGTTTTGGTTTCCTAATGACTTTATTTCAAAATCTTCTCCTTTATGGTTTTGTGTCCTATGCACTCCTAGCGGAATGGCTTCGTCTCAGTTGCTGTTGTCCCCCCATTGCCTACACTCACATTTATGCGAAATACTTCCAAAACTACTTAAAGGTTGAGCAGCTTATACACTCTTTTAAGAAGGCCACCACTTGCTGAATCGAGGACCCATACATGTCTATTGCTCCTTGGCGTTGTATAAGGAGTTCGAGGATGACTTGTACAGTGGAGTTACTCAATACGTTTGCATAAAGGGCAGTAACATCGAACGACTCCATCACGTACGGGCTGTTAGGACACGCGTTACGTTGACGATCCAGGAACATTTGGGTGTTCGCTGTGTTGGGATGTGTTTTAACAACAGAGTAAGTATTTGGGTTAACAATCTAGTTATTCTATCTGTGGGCCCGTCTATACAGCTAATGATAGTTCTAACGTTCATTAACGAGAGATCGGCAGACATAAGATCATCAGTGGATTCTAGCCTATAAGTTTGGATGAATAACTATACGACGGGAGATGTTAGTAATTCAACAATAAGTTGAGAAATAAGTGGTTGCTTTTAACGAGCCGCTTTTGTCACTTTGACCCATTTATCGTTCACTCTTCGGTATTGCTTTCGAATTCCTTCTCAGATGATGGTGATAAAGGGAAGCATCTTTAGGATGCTTTTTCGTTATTTCAACATATAACTAATGAGAAATTACTACAAACTCCCCACCCTTATTACTAACGGATAGTTTAATGTTTTTTAACCCTTTCAGCTCTCGTAGCTCCCGCATACCACATTTTTGCAAATCTGTGAGGTTGGAGCGACATCTTTTCGCGCGATAGTGACTAGAGATTTTGAAAGCTTCGCCTGTAAACATCCGAAACTTGATATCGGATTCATTATTAGGGAGGTACTGTTTAAAGAACGGTTGAGGAAACGGCGGTAGTTGGAATGCCCCCACTTGTTGCTGTTCGGACCTATTTAGCGCCTAATCTCTAGCTTTTTGCGGAGTCTATCCTGAAGTTCACACAAACTACATGTGACCCTACTCAAGGATGCCTTGGAATGGGTTCATGTGGAGCGAAGAGTGGATTCAGTTCTAATAGCAAGCGCGCTCCTTCAGAGAGAGCCGTTTCCAACTCCTAACACGTTATGTCTCGAATTTTTTGTCACATTGTTCATCCTACCGTGGCTCGTTTGATCTTCGTTAACGGTGTTTCTATACCCTTTTGAAGCTGTGTTCTGGATTAGTTCCAAGAATCCGAAAATGACCCGTAGGGAACAATGCCTCGTTATCACGTGTGATCTCATACAGTATTTAAGACCGATATTTTATCAGAGGGAGAGTTGCCACCTTGCGACTAATTTGATACCGGGACAGCGGTAATTCCTGGTACTAGTTTACTCTCATATGGGCTTCCAAATGGAAAAGTCGGACTCCTCGGCTTGGAGATCCTGCTAGTGAATGGACTCTTTGCTGCACATCGCAGTCCTAAACCCGGACATCTCTAAACCACGATAAAGCGGTAAACTTTTGGGAGGGCAATGAATTTGACTTCATCAAGAATCAACAGGGGTGATCTGGCCCATATGACAACTTGCGATGGTTTTCCGATGCATCAAGTCAGTGTTATTATTGGTCCAGACAGGTCTGGTACCAATTTACCCAACCCAGAGTGAAGAGATGGCCGGCTTGGAGGGCCTAGAGTGGGAGGTCGAATTCATGTGTATTATAGGACATCTCCAGTCACTGCGCTACATGAGCCCCAACCAACTTGCCCATTATCTACATCTCAATAGCCTTCACATCGTCCAAACCCGAATACATGTAGGAAACCACAAGAAAAGAAACCTTTCGCATGGAATCAGCACTGTCAATCGAGCGGGCGGCGTGGTCGAAAATGTCGTAACGTGTTCATTATCCGCAAGTACGTCCCGCTTCCCGTCAATTATGGGGAACGATCCGTGGATCTTAGAATCGACTGGAGATTCACCTTCAGGGTTGGTATTCGTTTGTTTTCATATTTGCTTTTATTAGAAGTACATCAATTTCTATTACTATTACTTTAAAGTGAAACATTCGTCATGATTTTGAGTTATTGAATAGAAGGTTCAAGGTTAAGGCTCAGTTTTTCCTGTTGTTCCAAGCTAATTGTTTCTTTTTGCTTATTAATTTTAGGATGTCGAACGTTGTGCCGGATCCGGACGACGCAATGGAGGCTGATTATCAAAACCTTGTAAGTAATGCTTCTTTTTTACTTACTTAGTTACTTTAAGTCTTGGATGGCCCATCCTCACTGATTGCGTGGGCCCCAGCGTAATCTATACTTTTTCGGAGATTTGCTGGTTAATCCATATTGGGAGACCCTGCTGGGGGATGAATCTCCTTGCTGTATGTCGCAGCCCGACACCAAAGAACACCTCTCAGCCTCGACGGGGCGGTGAACCGTTGGGGGGTTATTTTTTGCCAGTGGTTATAATAATTTATTTCCTCATGACCAGGTAGCTGACGAAACTCTGGATGACTTTGACGTTGATGTTGGTAATGCGAATTTAGACGATGATTTACAGGTATCGTTCCAATGTCGTTTGTGTTTTCGTTCTCGTTTTTCCATTTCATACGTTTGCAGATCGGTAAATGCCTTCAACATAGAGAGGGTACTCCTATTCCTGAAGATACTGCACCAGCCAGTCAGTATGGTGACACAAGTAGGAACTAGTAATCGAGCTTGGATAGTCTTGAATCTGCCTAAGAACTATACTGTTTCAGACGTTACACAGGTATCGATCCAGAAACCGCCTTCAAGCGCTGTTGTTAACAATCCTTCTGCTGTGGATATCGAGACCATATGTCAGTCATACAAAGGTCATTCTCTTTTAGTCAGGTACTGGTTGGTTTCCTTTCTACTTATTTGAATACTGGGATAGCCCATGTTCGTTGGTTATGCGGACCCCAGCATAACTTCGATTTTTTCGGTGTCTTCCTGGTTTAGCTAATGTGGTTCATTGGAACCCCGAGGTTACCTAGCCAAGCAGATCTCCATTTTACGGAGATTTCTTGGTTAAGCCATTGTGATTACGTGGAATTCCGAGGTCAGCCTGGCCAAAGTCTGCCCAGGTCTTCACCACAGCAGGCAGTCGCAGCCCTTGTGGATCAGAGAGAGATTTGCCACCCTGCAACTTTGATACCACGACGGTGGTGGATCGTGGTATTGGTTTACTCTTAGCTGGTCTTCCTAGTGGAAACACTAGACTCCTCAGCTTGGGACATAGATGAATCCCTCCGCTGTACATCGCAGCCCGACACCCATTAACACTTCCCAGCCACGATGGGGCGAAAAACCGTTGGGAGTTGTTTCTTTTTTATTGCTAATGTGTATCCAATTGTGATTATTTCATTTAGGCTGCAGTTCATAGCCGACCACTGTCCTCCTTTAAAGAGAGATGCTGTCATTGGGATGATAAATGAGCTCCATCGTGTAGGCTTAGAATAATTTTCTACAACTAAATTCCTTTTCTTATAAATAGTTTCGTTTAGAATTCTGTTAACGTGGCGCGTTATACTGAACTATTTGCAACCTTGGAGTCCATTGATAAACAGCTTGATGATCAAGTAAGTAATATTAGTTTATCATTCACTTCTTTACAACGAAAAACAGAGTCGTTTAGAATCATTTGGATACACCAGTGCTAGATCAAGCATGGGTCGATCAGACTACATTGAAATCTTCGATTCAGTTGGACTTCCTTCTTTCAGAGTATAAGAAGCAGAAGGATGAAGGTGTAAAGGTGAGCAGATAATCTTGTTCTCTAGTACTCGCATAGGTACATATTTCCAAACCTTGTGAAACGTACGTTTGCAGCTGTTTTTCAATAGACGAAGAAGATAAAGCTCTCGGTGTTGATCAGTTCCTATGGGATGAGCGATTCATTCGATTTTATTAAGCATCGTTAGAAGTGACTGAATGCATATCTGGCCTTTACTCGTGATGGACAACCGTTGTATCGAGTCAGTGTTGTTGACCTATCGGACAGGTCTGGTATCAATTTGCAGAAGCTTGTGTTGGAAAGCTTGGTGAGCGTGTGGCGCCGGATGGATCTCATGTGTATTGAAGGGCGCCTCTGAGCACTGCACTACACGCACCCTTCGTTTTTTGATTTTCAATGGCTAGAATTATCATGTAACCAATTTCTTTACATTTCCTCAATTCAAAATGATTATCTTCTAGTTCTTTGGATTTTAACAGTTTTTTGACTTTGGTCGTTCTGTATTATGGTCGGAGGCGCCCTGTGGTACATATTGGATCGAGCCAAGTGGTACACTGTCAAGCTCTCCATTCCTCTAGGGTCGGTATATTGGTACCAGACTTGCCTGGAAGGGTGGCAGCACTGGCTCGATATATCGTTAGGCCACCGCGAGTCATTTTATAGGCCGGATATGCATTCAGTCACCCTCAACGAAACTTGATGAAGTCGGATGCATAGCTCGTCCTTCAAGGATTAATCAATGCTGAGAGCTTTATCCTTTGTCCTTCATTGTCTTATTTATACTTTAAGATTGTTGAAGTGAAATACATAGTCGTTTAGGAATCTACCCGGCGCGCAATGGATGAACTCTTCAATTTCTATATTTCTTCTGGCGACATTGCTGAAGCTCTTCATTTGTATAGCCGAGGAATGAGGGAATATTGCAGCCAGTTCAAACACATTATCCAAGTTAGTGATGATTTCGGTATATCTAATCTTACTGTTGAAGTATCGTTTGCGAGTAGATGTGGACAAATTGGATGGAGGCATCCATCTGGGTAGGCGAGTGGCAACGTGTTGATATTATTGCTGCTCAAGCAGAACGTAGCATTAAGGAGGCTGAAGAGTCGGAGTCTGTGAGTTCGAGTTTTGCATTACATTCTTGGAGAAAAGTTCAACATTTTTCACTATAATTGTGAGCAAGCAGAGAAACAAAATAGGTCTCGTGCACAGACCAGTGAATTCATTGGAGAAGCCGTTATCATCGTTATCCTTTTCAGGTATTTTCATTGTGGGCTTCGCATGAGTACTCTTTTTTCAGCAAGCAAACTCAACTGCTATCGCTCGTACTCGTCCTGTTATTTTTGGAGTTTCATCGTCAAGTCCAAATCGGCCTAGTACATCCCAAAAATGTGCTCGTTCATTGATTAACACTGGAAAGGTTAGTATCCAGTATCCGATACCAGACGGTGTTCTTGCACCATTTCAAAACTTTCACTACTACCTCATTTGCAGCAACCTTAATTATTTTGCTAACTATCACACTTCAGTTTACTTCTTCTCTTTCGCTACCAAAAGTAGTTAAGTAACTGGTGACCACTTGGAGGTTATCAGAGTCGCTTCTTATTGGGCAAGTCTTCATTGGGGTATTTTAGGCCAGGTTGGACACAGCTTGCGCGCTATCCAAACTTCAGTCAGGTCGATATAAGCAAGCTGTTGATCGACTGCTCAAGGTGAGCGGTTGCTGATCCAGTCTGATGTGTTCGTAACATCTCGCTATTTAAACTATTTAACCGCTTTTTAGGTGGATCTGGATGCGCTGGAACTACCTTGGCTGTTTTCAGCTTCTGATTTGGCTATGTATACCACCTTATGTGCTATCGCAAGCTATGATAGAGCTGAGTTGAAAAAGAAAGTGATCAATGATACGAATTGTAGGTACGCTCTCTTTTTCCTCTCAAGAACCGTTTACTGTCGCTTTTTCCAGTTATGTTTATTGTTAAGGAAATGTCTTGAATCAGAACCGAGGCTAGTTGAACTTCTGCAGTGTGTGGTGAGATCCCAATTTGGTCGCGTCCTAGATATTTTGAGAGAGATGAAGGACAGGGTAACTGTTTTTTCTGGGGTGATAAACTAGGGATGTTAGAGTTAAGAGTATGGTTTCAGTTTCTATTGGATCCTTATTTGAGCGCACATGTTGATCCGTTGTATTCCGTTATTCGAGAGCGTGCTTTGCTCCAATATCTAGAACCATTTGCTTCAGCCGATTTGAATGCAATGGCAAACGTTTTTCGAACAGACGTTAAAAACGTGAGTCTATGTCGAAATTTTGCACGGGTTTCTATGCATAGGATATCTGTGTTTGTAGCTCGAAGGTGAACTAGTGGTGCTGTGTGAACAAGACCGATTATCAGCTAGAATTGATGCTGTTGGTGCTACTATACATATGGTTCAACCCAACGAACGCGAAGAGAATTATAGGAAGTATGTTATTTTGATGATAATATTATTATTAACACACTGGGGACGAGGTGAATCAATACCACGCATTCTTTCTAGACCATTTATTTTGCCGTATAGACTTTTTTTGGCACCATATTTATAAATATTTACGGCTTATCCAACACGGATTTTGTGGCGAACATCGGCCAGGAAGAGCTGTATTCTGCACTTGTTAATATTGAAACAAACTTCTTTATTAATGAGTTAAGTGACCTATAATTTCTCCGCTTCTTGGCTGCAATTTCATTCCAATAAAAGGATAAAAAGGGTAAAGCTGTCGGCGTTGATCAATCCCTGAGGGATGCGCCATGCAGTCGACTTCATTAGGCATCGTGAGAGGTGATTGAACACATGTCTGGCCTTTACAGTGACTCGCGGTGGCCTACCGATGTATTGATCCACTGCTGGTATCCTCCCAGACAAGTCTACTACTAATTTGCCAACTCCGGAAGGAAGGAGGGGTTGGTGGGCCTGGGGCTCGGGGATCGATCACGTGTGTATTGCAGACCACTGCGCTATGTTCGCGCTTTTCATTCTAATAGATGCTATTAATCATATTTATGGTACGAAATAGACCAATTTGAAAGGAAACGGAAACAGCTTCAATATAAGCTACAAAACACTTCCAATATCGACAGCAATCTGTTCGTATTGGGCCGTAGTAATTTGTAGTAGATAAAACTTGTAGAAGATAATAACACGTGCTTTCTTGATACTTGAATGGCCCGTCTTCACCGGCTGTGCGGGCCCCAGCATATCTCCAATTTTCGGAGATTTGTTGGTTAAACCATGGTGATTCCGTGGAATCCCGAAGTCAGCCTGGCCAAAGTCTTCCTCGGGTCTTCACTACCACAGGCAGTCGTGGCCCTTGTGGATCAGAGAGAGATTTGCCACCCTGCAACTTTGATACCACGACAATGGTGGATCCTGGTATTGGTTTGCTCTTAGCTAGGTTTCTTGTGGAAGCGACGGACTCCTCAGCTTGGGAGACCCTGCCAAGGGGGTGAATTCCCTCCTCCCCCTGTACATCGCAGCCGGACACCAAGAAACACATCCCAGCCACGATGAAGCGGTAAACCGTCGGGAGGAATAAATAAGACGTACGCTCATTATGTCCCCAAAGTGTTAGAATTGAGTTTGCGATATACTTTTATCATGTTCTCGAGCTCTTCATTGCTCTAGTTATCATCGCCTATGGTCAAAAAACCATCGCCCCAGTAACGTAGACGTAGTTGACAATGCTTTTTAGGTAGGAGTTAAAGGATGGAAACTGCAAACAAGATCTCAAATATTGGTATTTTAATTCTGGACCTGGAAATGTTCTATCAACAGTTACGGTTGCCTTGGACAATTTTTATGATCACTTTCTAAATGGATATGATTTTTAGGATAGTTGACGGATGTGACGATTTGATAGAGCGATGTGAAGCTGCAATTCTTCGAGCTGTGATGCAACAGGTCGATTTCTTCTGCTTGTCTGCTTCTGTAATGAACAAAGCGATTTTATTCAGGCGTGTATTTCCATTCATTCCGACGGAAGAGCGAAACGAAAGACGATTGCACATGATGACGGTAAGCCAACCTTATCAACCCTTATACATTTGTTTGTTTTTTTAAAGCTCTAAACTTGCCTAAACTAAGTTAAGACTTTATTTACGCACAAGATGACGTTTCGGAGGATTACGCTTTCCTCAGAGTCAGGAAAGGTCAAGTTGGCCGCAATCTACCTAACCAAACACCTCCATAACCAAACAGAGAAAATGCTAAACCAAAATTTCAACCACATTGAACACAGAGTACCTTCTTTGCATATTCACCGCTTTCTATGAGTCTCCCACTGAATGTGTCACGTGGAGACCAACCGCACAGAGTTCACATGGAATCGTAATGTGTCCATCCCATCATAATAACAGACGGCTTATATACTGCCCAATGTCACGTGTAATAATGAGGCATTCCTCTCTGCGGTTCATTTCCGAATTCATCGAATTAATCCACAATGCCTCGAGAGTTGCACGCTCATGTTCTCGATTCCTGTGCGAGGATCGTAACCCCTACTTAAAAGTCTTCCCGTTTTGTCTCTGCGTCCTTTGCGTGCCAAGTGGAGTATTTTATGTAAGTTTACCCGCCAGGTGTTCTTTTATACGGGCACAGAGTGATCTACCTGTTTCTCCAATGTACTCGTCCCCGAATGGCTTACAAGGGATCCGATAGATTAGGTAGATATTACAGATAGATAGATAGAGATTCAGCAGCTGATGACACTCTTAAATGAATGCCTGAACTGTTCAATCTTCAGACGGTCCGGAAAGTACTACGCTGAAATGAGACGGTTAGCAATAGGACAGCTACTGACGCCAAGCCTTCCCATTGCATTTATGTCTAAAGTGGAAGCACCAATAACCTATCTCAGACCGTTACACTACTGCAGATATATAGATGACTGCTTTGTCATTTGTTCAATACAAGAGGAAATCGACAAATGTTTCGAGTTGTTGAACGGACAGTCAGAGTATATTAAGTTTATATTACATGTTATATATTAAGTTCACCCGAGCGAAACCGAATGAAAACTGGCTTCCATTTCTGAACATGCAAGTTAGTCTGTCAGAAAACAGCGTGTGCACAGGAAAAGAGCAGAAGGAAGAGTTCTGGAACTTGGCGTGGCAAATATCCATTTTTAATGGCTATGAAACTGTAACTCGGAATAGGTGTAGAGGAAACGTCAAGTCCCCAAACGATAACTGTAGCGACAATAAGGTCCCATTCCTGTTTGTCCTGCCCTTCATTTCGAATGAAGTAAGTGCAGCTATAAAACGCTGCTTAAGAAGGGTCGGTCTAGAGAATTTGGTAACGGTAATTGAAATGCCTCCAAGTAATCTAAGACGCCAGGTATGTTTGGTCTATGTTTGCCGGCTAGGTGTTCTTTTATGCGGGCACAGAGGGGTCTGCCCGTTTCGCCAATGTATTCGTCACCGCACGTCTTACAGGAGATCAGATAAACTATACCCGAGCTCATGCAATCACCGTCTCTACCACTGGGGCAAATTATGCAATTTTGAGTTGCACATAGACGGTTATATAGGCGGTTACGAACTAGCTGGCGCTTAAGATTACTCGGTGGTATTTCAACTACGCGTACCGAATTCACTAAACCCGCCCTTCTTAAGCAGCAATATATAGCTATACTTATATCATTTGAGATGAAGGGTAGGATAAACGGAACCCTTCTATCGCTAGAGTTGTTGTCTGGAGGCCTTGGATTTTCCCTACACCTATCCTGAGCTACAGTTTCGTAGCCATTAGAAATGGCTATTTGCCGTGCCAAGATTCGGGACTCCTCTCTCTGCTCTCTTCCCGTACACACGTTGGTTGCCGTTCGAAACATGTTTCTTATAAGCGCCCTTTTCGTGTGAGAGGGGTGAGAGGAGAGGTAATGAACCAAGATGTTTTTACTACTTGGCTTTCGGTACCACTTCGTAATGCAGCCATTTTCTGATAGGTGAATTTGTACGTTCAAAAATGGAAGCCATTTTTCTTTCGGCTTTTCTCGGGTGAACTTGATATACTCTGACTGTGCGTTCAACAATTCGAAGCATTTGTCCAATTCCTCTTGTGTTGAGCAAAGGACAAAGCAGTCGTCTACATACCCACAGTAGAGTAGCGGCCCGAGATCAGTCACCGGTGCTTCCACTTTAGACATAAATGCAATGGCAAGGCTTGGAGCCAGTCGTTGTCCCATTGCCAACCCTCTTATTTGAGCGTAGTACTTTCCGGACCATCTGAAGATTGAGCAGCTCAAGCATTCTTTTAAGAGTGCCATCAACTGCTCTATCTTGANTGCTCTCTTCCCGTACACACGTTGGTTGCCGTTCGAAACATGTTTCTTATAAGCGCCCTTTTCGTGTGAGAGGGGTGAGAGGAGAGGTAATGAACCAAGATGTTTTTACTACTTGGCTTTCGGTACCACTTTGTAATGTAGCCATTTTCTGATAGGTGAATTTGTACGTTCAAAAATGGAAGCCATTTTTCTTTCGGCTTTTCTCGGGTGAACTTGATATACTCTGACTGTGCGTTCAACAATTCGAAGCATTTGTCCAATTCCTCTTGTGTTGAGCAAAGGACAAAGCAGTCGTCTACATACCCACAGTAGAGTAGCGGCCCGAGATCAGTCACCGGTGCTTCCACTTTAGACATAAATGCAATGGCAAGGCTTGGAGCCAGTCGTTGTCCCATTGCCAACCCTCTTATTTGAGCGTAGTACTTTCCGGACCATCTGAAGATTGAGCAGCTCAAGCATTCTTTTAAGAGTGCCATCAACTGCTCTATCTTGAAGCCATACATGTTTATTTCTCCTTCGTGTTGTGTAAGGAGTTCGAATATGGCTTGCATTGCGGAGTCATTCGACACGTTTGTATAAAGGGCGGTAACGTCGAAGGACTCCATCACGCACGCGCTGTTGGGCTGCGCAGTACGTAGACGATCCAGAAACATCTGGGTATTCGTAAGATGGGCAGGAATGTGTTTCAACAACTGGTTAAATATTAGGGTTAAAAACCATGTTATCCTGTCCGTTGGCCCGTCTACGCAGCTAGGTCGCAGATAGGTCTAACCTTAAATAGTGATGGATCGGTAGACGCAAGATCATCGCTGGATACTAACTTATGAGTTTTTATAAGTACAAGACGGGGCATGTTGGTAAGTCAACTTTTAGTTGAGAGATAACTGATGGTTTTAAACCAGCAGCCCTTGCCATTTTGGCCCATTCGTAGTTCAGTTTTCGGTATTTTCTTTTAAATTCTTCCTCAGACGATGGTCTATAAAGCGAAGCATCTTCAAGATGCTTTTTCGCTATCTCCACATCCAACTGATGAGGAATTAGAGCCCAATAATGAAGTTGATGTTAATTTTCGGATGTTTGCGAATGAAACTATCAAAGTCCTTAATCACTATCGCGCGAAAAGATACAGCTCAAACCTCACTCCAGTGCAAAAACGTGGTATGCGATAGGTACGAGAGCTGATAAGGTTGAAAACCATAAGAATATCCGTTAGTGATAAGGGTGGAGAGTTTGTCGTAATTTTTGTAGCTTTTGGCGAATACATTGGCGAAACGGGCAGACCCCTCTGTGTCCGCATAAAAGAACACCTAGCCGGCAAACATAGACCAAATACTCCGCTAGGCACGCATAGGACCCAGAGACATAACGGGGACGACTTCGAAGTATGTGTCACGATCCTCGCACGCGAATCAAGAACACAGGCGCGAAAAACTCTCGAGGCACTCTGGATTAATTCCAGAAATCCGAAAATGAACCGCAGGGAAGAATGCCTCATTATCACGCATGATGTAGGGCAGTATATAAGACTGCTATTCTGATGAGTGGGGCACATTATACTTCCATGTGATTTCTGTGCGGTTGGTCTCTACGTGACATACTTAGTGGAGACCTCATAGAAAGCGGTTAGTGTGCAAAGCTGTGTTCAATGTGATTGAAATCTTGGTTTAGAGTTTCTTTGTTTGGTTATGGAGGCGTCTGGCCGAGTGGATTGCTATCAACTTGACCTTTCCAGGCTCTGAAGAAGGCGAAATCCGCCGAAACGTCAGCTTAATCGTGAACAAAGAATAGTAACACCTCGCGTTTGCTCANGGCAAACATAGACCAAATACTCCGCTAGGCACGCATAGGACCCAGAGACATAACGGGGACGACTTCGAAGTATGTGTCACGATCCTCGCACGCGAATCAAGAACACAGGCGCGAAAAACTCTCGAGGCACTCTGGATTAATTCCAGAAATCCGAAAATGAACCGCAGGGAAGAATGCCTCATTATCACGCATGATGTAGGGCAGTATATAAGACTGCTATTCTGATGAGTGGGGCACATTATACTTCCATGTGATTTCTGTGCGGTTGGTCTCTACGTGACATACTTAGTGGAGACCTCATAGAAAGCGGTTAGTGTGCAAAGCTGTGTTCAATGTGATTGAAATCTTGGTTTAGAGTTTCTTTGTTTGGTTATGGAGGCGTCTGGCCGAGTGGATTGCTATCAACTTGACCTTTCCAGGCTCTGAAGAAGGCGAAATCCGCCGAAACGTCAGCTTAATCGTGAACAAAGAATAGTAACACCTCGCGTTTGCTCAACAAAAATACGAAGAATTGTAGAAGAGAATTTGTTCTGTCGGTCTGTGGCTATGAATGGGCGCATGTAACGCAGTTTTCGGAGACACCCTGTGATACACATGGGATCGATCTTCACGCCCCTGATACAACAAGCTCCTTCCATCCATCCAGTGTCGACAAATTGGGACCGCACATATCTGGGAGGATAGCAGCACTAGCTCGATACATGGGCAGGCAACCTCGAGTTCTTTTATAGGCCAGATATATATTCAGTTGCATACAGCGGTGCTTAATGCTTAATGCAGTCGAATGCACGGTGATCCCTCAGGGATTGATCAACGCCGAGAGCTTTATCCCTTTTCCTTTATGGTTATGAATGATATGTATGCTTTTTTTCTATCCTACCATGGTCCATCTTGTAAAAACATTGCTGTCAGCACTTTGAAGTGTTTTACACCTTACATCGAGTCTATTTCAATACTTTTGTATCCGCACATTCCATAGAATAATCGTAGCAATTGAAATGAAGTAACAGTTAATTGTTAGTCAGATTATCGGTCGTTGGAATTTTCGACAAAAAGACATTTTTATAAACCATTGTCTGTAGAGAACAACTTTTCTG